AATTAACACAAGACCCCATAATAACAACCTTTCATCTTTACCAGGGTAATTGTCCTTTTTTTTTTAGACATTCAAAACTAGATAGACATAAAAAAATATACATCAGTTGAGTCGTGAAGGTTAAGAACTACTCACTTTTCTCAGTTTTCATCTTCTCATTTTCCTCATATGTTTTCTCTTTATGTTTTCAATGCCTTTATTTAACTTTATTTTTCTGCTCTTTAGAAAGAATCAGTAGCTTGCCATTTCTATGCTTAGTCTACAAGGCCAAAACCTACTTCATAGCTATTCAATCTACTTTGAATGTTATGCCAAGCTGAGCAGTCCTTGGGCATCGTTTTTGTTAGGTACTGGCAGCTAAAGACTTTATTCAGTATACAGCAGAATCAATATGATGTTGATATAATTTTTTTTTATTGTAGCAACAACTGAAAACAAGTTTCCACTTAAGCAAAGACACGCTTGTAATCAGATGGTCAATAATTGCAAAAAATAAGAGAAGTTGATGTGCTTTACTCAGAAATTGCATCATTGATGAAAGAGGGGTGACAATGTTACTGAAATTGTCTTCCTAACCTTACTGAATTGGTTTGAACTATGTTAGAGCAACTTACAAAAGACTGCCAGGAAGAGCCTGGAGTATACTTATAAGGTTGGTTTTCTCAATCAACAGAATATGCTATTCATTCATTCATTCATTCATTCATTCATTCACTTACTAAACCAATATTGATTGAACTACTAGTATGTTCCAGGGCACTATGCACAGAACTAAAAAACATTTTTCCTGCTTCAATGATCTCATGTATGGCTGGAGTTAGGGAAGATATGGATCGAGATAGAAACATATAATCAAAATTTAGTGTGTAAAAACCATTACAGAATTGTGTATAAGGAACACTGTTACACAGAGGGCTGATTGTTATTGATTCAAGGAAGAATAGAGTTACACAAGACTAGCTGAGAGGCTTGCCTCAACCAGACACTGCTGAATGCTCTTGGGTAACAGCCAGTATATCTTTGGATTTCAGTTATATCATATGCACAACGAGAGTATGAATCTGATAACAGGAACAGTAGCTAAATTTATTGAACACTTTCTATTTGGCAGGTACTGTTCTACGAATTTTACTTATATTAACTGATCAATTTTTCCAATTATCCTATGAGACAGCTACCATTAATATGCTACTTTTTTCCCCCTGTGGATAAATTGAGATCCATAGAAATTAAGTAATTTGGGCAAAGTCACCCAGTCAGTAAGTGGTAGACAAGATAATACTACTGACTCTTTCTTCTAAGTACAAACTCTTGCAGTGGAAATTTCCAAATCCATTTACTGAGAATGCAGTTGAAGGAAATTGACCAAGCTTAATATAATATAAAATGGAGTTTTCCCACAGCAAATGTACTCTCTCTCTCTCTCTCTCTCTCTCTCTCTCTCTCTCTCTCTCTCAACATATATATTATATTAAAGCTCATCTAAACATGCTTGTGTTTAGTTTCCATGGAATCCATGAACTTGCAGAGAACACAGTGTACTTTCCAAAGTCAAATGACTAAATTCTTTCGAACATCTGATATAGGAGTTAAAGCGAGAAACAAGATGACTAAATTGAGAGTGGGTGGCACAGGCAGAGTGGATACTCCATGGAGAGAATTTGTTGCCTTAAAAGATTTTTGAAATATTTAAAAAAAGATTTTAAAGGCCCTCCTTGAGTTAGTTGATATTATTGTTTCAAACTCTAAGTTCACCACACTTGGAAGAGTTACTTTTAAATATGCTCGCCTTCTCAACATTTTCTCCCCCCTTCAGTTTACCACCTCACGGTATTTACACATAACAGGTTTCACCAGCTGTCCAAAAGTAGATCATTCCTATGAAACCTTCATAAGCCAGAATGGCCTAGAGTGAAAATGAAATTACCATTAATTTATATGGAAAAACTTTTGGGCATTCTAAGACCCCAAAACTAAATTACCGAATCATACCAAATATACTTAATTATACCCATTTTTACTCTGAGCATCACTCCCTTACAAGCTCTCTTAGGCTTTTCCAATAGCATAAGACACATCTTGCTAACGGTTACACAAAAATCAATCAAGTTATAGTACAGATGCTCACAGACACAGTTCAAAGCTAAGGTGGTTTGATGTTGAGATGCTCAGTGTAGTTCCCAGGAGGAGCTTGGAAGGGCCAGTCTCGCTGCTCCTGGTCTGAGCTGCCTCTATAATGGCTTGCTGCAGAACGAATGCTGGACAATATTTTTGCTTTTTTTTTTCATAAAAGTGACAATTTTCTTTGGATTTCTTTTGATTAGTGAAAACAGGAGCTAATGTAAGTCTTTCCTAAAAGCAAAGTAGAGTCATGCGAACTTTTGAAAAGCGGGAGTACCTGTTTATTTATGTAACTTAACACTAATAAGAAATGTGTTTTAAACTTATCCCTTCCTTTATGCTCTTATTTATAATAGTCCTTACCTCACATATCTGAAGGATGGGCATCTTCCCACGGTACCTCATAGCATTATCAAGGACAAAATGAGAATACTTTGCAAAATCCTATTCAAATGTAAAGGTAAATTTTCATTTTCCTAACCTTTTATTCTGAGGGACAAGCTCTGTGAATGAGAAAGTATTGAATTTTAGTTAATGATCTCATTAGAGCTGCACTTACATAACTTAATTTTTTTTTTAAATTGGGGAATTGGGAGATGGGAACAGCACTGGGGAATTGGGGGAAGGGGAACAGACAAGTTGCTGTCCTTTTGTTCTTCAGTCTAGTTGTGGAGGACGTTGCTTCACTGGCCCANGCTGGCTTCTGGTTGGCCGCTCACAGCGGCTGCTGGCCGCTCACGCTGACTGCTGGCTACACACGGTAGCCCATGACAACTCACTGCAGCTGGGCTGCAGCCTACGCCATAGCCTGCGACTCACAGCAGCCCAGCTCCAGGTTGAGATGTTGTTCAGCATCTTAGCTGTAGAGGGCAGCGTCACTGGCCCTCATATGTGGGATCCGAACCGGGGCCTTCTGGCGTCCCAAGCCAGCTCTCAACCAACATGCCACTCGGCCAGCCCCATAACTTTTAAAACCAAGTAAGTTTCGATATTTTGGGCATAACTGAATCTGTTATTTTTTTAACATTTAATATTATTTTATATTAATTTCAGGTGTACAGCATACATTTGGAGTGTATTCCTTTGTTTCGTATTTTGGCTGCCTCTCTGTTTGTTCCTATGCATTATGTAGATCTGTTATGTTTCCCAGTCTTGCTGGGTGGTCTTATGTAGTAGGTGCCCTTTGGGACCCAGTGGCACAGTCTCCCTAGTCCCTCAGCTGGGTGCTCAAGGAGTGTCCCTTGTGTGAGTTCTGTGTGCCTTGATTGCTATTGGCACATTAGTGGGCAGGGTTGACCCTCAGGCTGAATGGCTGTGGGGTTTGGCCATGTCCACAGCTTATGGGATGCCATGAGGGGGCTTACCAAATGGAGCGGGATTCACCCCATTGGGCTCTTGTGCTGAGACCATGCTTTATGTGTGCTGCTGTGGGAGTAATTAGGCAGTGCTTTGCTGTGGTCTGAAGCCAACCTCCAAGTATATTGATTCTGGGGCATCTCAGAAGGAGCTCCGGTGTAGGCCCAGGCCACTCACTGCCTGTGACTGGTCGGGGACTACCTGGTAGGAGGTGTAAAGCAATTTGCTGTTGTTCTCTGCTTGTGCTGGACCTGGAAGTCCCTGGGAGAGGCCTCACTGTGAACTGATGTCAGCTGCTACCAGTACCGGGCTTGGGGTAGCTCTGCAAAAAGTCAGGACATCCTGAGGCCTGCTGCCACCTGCCAGCTCCCATAAGGTTCAGCCATAGGTAAAGACTCATGTGGTATGCCACTGGGTGAGGCAGGGTCTCAGGTGATCACTAGAGTGGTAAGAATTGTGGTCACTAGGTTAGTGTAGATTCTGGTTTTGTTTTGCGCTAGTGCTGAACTTGGAGTGACTCAGCACAAGTCTCAGAGCATACAGAGGCCAGTGGCCGCCTGCCTGGGGTCTGCCAAACTCCAATAGTTTTCCAAGGAAGAGTGCAATATGGGTGTATAGAGCATATAAAATATACTATAAACAAGGTTGTTTTTGGATTGAGGCTTGCAACACAAGTTTTTTTGCTGGTAGGGACACAAGCTAGGCTGCACATGTGTGAGACTGATAAGAGTAAAGTGAAAGTAAACATGTTTGTGTTTTTGTGTGAAACTGAGAATAGCAAAATTAAGTGGTAAACACGTTCACCAAAACAACTTCTGGTTATCACCTGAGAAGTAAACAAGTGTAAGGAAAAGAGGATAAAAGTAGAGCTCAACAGCAGTGTCATGAGTAGTCTGACTGAGCGCTCTGATTAAGACCCCCTGCAAGGTGTGGGCCTTGATACTCCAGAACTCTCTGAAGTTCTTTCTTGCAAGACCAGCTTACCTCAGACCCTTCATGTGTCCAGTTGTCTCTCCCAGATCAGAGACCTTCATCTCGACTGACTCTAGGACTTGGTTCATTATTAAATTCTATTCTATCCTGTATAACCCTCTGTGCTTACCAGAGCATTGGCCTGTGGAGGGACATTGGTTCCCAAATAAAGCTCTGTTACTCACTCTAGCTGAACCTGAGTGTGGGGACTTTGTTTCCCGCTCACATCACGAGTACCACGCAGGGACATGGGACCCTGCTGAGGGGTTAATGTCCCCTTGACTTTCAGGAAGGGGCTGAAATGAATGTGGCAACTGCCCTTTCAGGTACTCATGACAGTGGGTGGGGCTGGCAGCTCATGAGAAAGTGCCTCCAGCGTGCATGAGTTGTGTGGGGCGGAGTCCTGCTGAGTCAGCAGAGCAGAGCAGCAGATCTCACCAGACCAATCAGATTCAAACTTGGCCTGTGGGGTGGGTGGGCTCAACACAGGCAAGATGGTGCCCTGCATGGAAGGAAGACTTCTCATTGGGAAAATGCTGACTGTCTTCCAGTTTTCCCACCAAAGCCACACACCTCAGTCTGCCCCCGCTGCATGTCTCTGAGGCCCTCCAAGTCACCATCCCTCTGCTGGAGCCCAAGGTGAGTGCCTGCGAGTGAGTGAACCTGTGCACACACGGTTTAAGAGGACATCTGGGTTTCCCTTAGTCTCCCACACCACCCAAATGGTTAGAATTCCCACTGTTTTTCACAGCCAGATGTTGTGGGGGCTCCTTTTCCCAGCACACGTATTCTGGGCTGGGAAGCCTAGTGTGAGGGCTGGGTTCCCTCGCTCCTCCAGGGAGAATCTCCATGGCCAGATATCCCTCCTGATTCTCAACCACCACAGGGAGGTTTGGGGCCTGTTCCACATCTCCGTCCCTCCCACAAGTCTCGATGTGGCTTCTTTTTTATATTTTTAGTTATAGGACTCCTGTTCAGCTAGACTTCAGATAGTTCTCCAGGTTGATTGTTCTATAATTTAGTTGTAATTTTAATGTGTTTATGGAAGAAAGTAGGCACAGTGTTTAGCTACTCTGTCATTTGGATCTCTCCTACCTGAATCTGTTTTGAAAATGCTTCTAGGAAGTCATAAATGAGAGATTTATAAATTTATTAATGAATATAAACATTCTTAAGGGAAGCTGTATACATTTCTGAAGAAAGGCTCCCTCTCACTACATAAGCATCTGATTGGTAATACAACTCAGGTGAATTTAATGCATTGCTCTGCATTAAATGGGAAATGGGAAAGCCAGCTGCTTGATGATACTAATTTTTATCAGTCTAATGTAAGAACACTACATGTGATTCTATTAATATTATTCATGATTAAAATCAGAGAAAGTTTTCAGAATACCAGTAAGCTGATTTAGACTTATTTAGACTTGAATCTTAATATACACTTAAGACTTTATGACTACTAGAATAACTATGAGTAATAAGATATACTTTAAATCTAACATGACACATTTGAATGGAATCATTTCAAGCAAATAGTACGATGTCAATGTACATAAAGACAGCATTACATTGTGGGTTTGAGTGGGGTAATTGGCAATTCTGATATTTAACATTTCAAAGCCTATGACTTCGATTTAATAATGTCTTATTTTTGTAATGCATTTTTGTGCTTCACAATTTATAAAGTATGTTGCATGAATAATCATTTTGTTCCTTAAAAAAATTCACTTAAGAGCAGTAAGGCATGAATCATTACTTTTATTTTAAAGATGAGTCATCTAATATTGGAAATGCAATGTGCCATGCTCAAGCTCACACAGATAGGGAGTGGGATAAATAGGAACTAGAATCTAGGCTTTTTGATTCCAAAATTCATCTTTGTTGCATTAGGGCACATCCATTCCCCTAAACGTAAGTGAAATAATTATTTATCAAATGTAGAGCCAAAGGACACTTTTCTTGACTTGTCTTCTTATTTAAGGCTAGAATATTATTTTGCTTTTCTCTGTGAATCCTTCAGATCCATTCTTCATTTTATTTTATAACTTGAACACTTCTTATGATATATCAAAGAAAGTCAAATAACCTGAAGGAAGAATTGTTGATTCTAGAAGTATATTTGGGGGTTTAATTTCAGTCAATTCAGTCTCTTACAACCAAATATGTGTGTGTAGAAGCCTACATCTGAGTTCACTAGAACCCCAACAAATTGTGACAAATATATTATCAGTGAAACTGGCAAGTATTATGTTTTCTCTGCTTTAAAGTTTTCTTAAATATAAAATGGGGATTACAGTTTACCTCAGATAATTGTATGATAATTAAATAAATCAATAATATAAAACTTTTAATGGCACATAGTAAGCACCATCAGCATTAGCCATTATTAACTATTATTAATAAATAGATACAATAGTAACACTTTCTAAACTGGTGCTTCATTTAATTCAATATTTTTTATATCACATACATTTAAATAAACTTCCACTTTTTTGAAGGGCTTCACAATATCATATTAAAGGTTGAGATTCTCAATAGAAAATATTATATTTATTAAGATTAAATAATTTATAGGGTTGGAATTTAGAAAAGAGGGTCAGTGCTATAAATCCTGAGTGTGTTTTGACCTTACATATTTTTCAGACATTTTGACCTACAAGCATCCTGGTAGTTTTAGACTAAGCATAAAGTGCCCACTTGCTTCAATAATTGGCATGTAAGGATAATAATTACATCAGTCATGCTTTCAAGAAACATAGAGTTAGTATTTAGACATAATGGGATGAAAAGAACTTATTAAGACAGAAAATTCTGTTAATAATGTTAATCTTCTATATTAAGCCCTTGAGCGTGTATCAACACAAATAGGTAATCATATTTAAGGGACTAAAATTTTCCCTCAATCCATGACTGTTCACTACTTACCCATAACAAAGACAGCAGTTTTCAGGGAACTGACAATTTATTATTGGTTATTTATTTTAAAATAATAGCTCTCTCTTACAGAATATTCAATTTAGATTGAAAATAGATGGCTCAATGGCTAATTTTAAAGATAGGATGGGAGGAAATAAAGAAAGAATGGAAAGAGGAAGAACAAATTGAAAACTCTTTTTAGTTAGAATTAACAGGTAGAGAAAAACCTTGAGTTAGTTTAAGACGATTGAAAATTTTATTTTGTAAGTGCTCAAGTCTCTCACACAACTGAAGAACATAAATACATTTAGGTCTTGAAGACAATTAGGAAAAGTACAGAAATGCCATCAAAAATTTGAATTTTACATCTTAGAATCAACTGTCCAAAGATGATTGACCAGACACCCTTTTTTATCCAAGGCAACAATTTCCAGGGAAGGGACTCCCTGGTCCAGGCTAAGTCAGACTGGAACTTCAGTACTTCAGTCCCACTCACCATGACTGGGAGAAAAAGGAAAGGAGTACAGTATTATCATCAGTCCAATTTGGATGAGATATCTACTTCTGAAAAAATCAGCTCTGGTCAGGGGGCTGAGTTGCCACTAACTTGTTTGCTCTTATTCCGATGATGTGCTAGGGAAAAACAACTGTTGCTAGAAGAGAGGTACCAAGCAGAAAGCCCCATAGTATTCCACTGAAATTCATTTGTTTATTTAATATTCGCATAACTGATATTTACTGAGAAAAATCTATGTGCCTGACAGTGTTGTAGATACTGGGCATACAGCAATAAACAAAATAAATACATTGAACCTACAGAAAGCTTGTATTATTTTTATTATAACATATTTTGAGAACTTTATGGTAACTACTCCCAGTAAGTATTTCATACACACCTTCAGAGAATTTAAACTATCCATTTATTTGTTTGTTTTAAAACTTGAATGAAGCTAAAATTACTTTTCATACCATTCAGTCTGAGCACAGTAACGTTTGGTTTTGGATGATCGACTGCTACTCTTGGTTGGTAAAATGCAGAAATATGCCAGGAAGTCCTATGTTTCTACTTTACGCCTTTTTATCCACTTTTCCCTTTAGTTTCTTTTCTTTCTTTTTACATATCGCCAGTTGTTCCTCAAAGGAGCAATCTATTTTTCATTTAGTAAAGAACAGCCTTGGAGTCTAATTTGGTAAGACTCCACGAGACTCTATAAAACTGGCCTTGCATGCCAGGGCCTCTGAAAAGTTCATGACTGCTTACTAGAGATTTTAGCTAATCTTCTGGGTAGAGGACAGTGGACTAAGGAATAGCCCACAGGCTAGTAGAGTAGAATATTACTCCTGGAGAACAGATGTCTAGTTTTTAACTCCTGAGGGAAAAAAAAAAAAACACCTAAAACTGCTTGCACTGGATAAAGAGGATGGCAATCCCACCAGGCTCTAACAAGCATGATTAAATGCCAGGCACTGTGCAGCATCCTGGGACATAAACACATTAGTGGCAGAGTGGGAACAGTTTGGAAATAGCACTCAGTCAGTAAGAAGATTTGAGATGAGGTCCCAGTTCAGCCAGAAGGAACCAAAGAGTGTAACTGTCTGTGAAAAGATTCCCTTTGATTTCTTACACAGGGCAAATGGGCATCCAATATAAAAATTTTTACCTATAAAAATACTGAAGATTTATTGAAAGGAAAAATAAATAATGTCCTTTTCTAACACCTTGTTATTAATGATTTGTTAACATTAAATACATTCACCATTAAGACCAAACTTTTCTTAAACAGAATTTTTTAATAACGTACTGAAGAAGCCACTGTTAATCTTGTTAATTAGTAATTTTCAAAGTGCCTGAGATTAATGTAAGCTTATAAGTATTTTTTAAATTAAATACATGACAGGGTGAAAATATTAAAAAAATATTAGAGAGAAAAATATTTTCATTGATCAGTTTAAAATAGTCTCTTTTCCATAGTGGATACTAATAAATATGTTTAAAAAGGATTATATCTTACATAGTGCTAAGTTATCTTAATTTTGGGGGATGGTTTAAAATAGAACATATAATACATAGGGCACTCATAAGCTTTTTTAAAGGAGGCAATAAAAACACTACCCTGAACAAATTATTTTTTATTTGAATGGTAATACTTCCACCTGTATATACAATGTACTTCAACACTACATATTATTGTGCTTAAAGAGAGAGAGGATTAGGAACTCATAAATCACATACTACCTTACATATGGAAAATATTCAATACATTTATTAAAATAAATAATTGGGTAATAAGAAGAATTTGTTTGTACTAGGTATCCTTTGTTTCAGTTATGACTGGTTCTTTTTTGTTTTCTATCTCCATTTTTATATTTCCTATGTCTTTGTTGAAGTTTTCACTGAGTTCATCTACTCTTCCCCTAAGTTCATTGAGCATTCTTATAGGCAGTGCTTTGACCTCTGAGTCTGGTTGATCACTTGTCTCCATTTCATTTAGTTCTTTTTCTGGAACTTTGTTCTATTCTTTCATTTGGGACATGTTTCTTTGACTCCCCATTTTGGCTGCCTCCCTGTGTTTGTTTCTATGTATTAGGTAGGGCTACTATGTCTACCAGTCTTAGTAGAGTGATCTTATGTAGTATGTGTCCTTTGGGGCCCAGTGGCACAGTCTCCCTGGTCACCTGAGCTGGGTGCTCCATGTGGGTCACTTGTGTGGGTTA